GAGAGGGGCCAAGAAGTAGTAATCGATGAAGCCAGGAAGGATGCCGGGCTGAGTGAAGAGGTACACGAAAGCCACCCCGCCAAGGCCGACGAGGGTCGGGTTGATGCCTCTGTTCTCCAGGCGCAAGCTTGGGTCGAGCGTGCTCCTGTGAATCATATCCCCGCACTTCATGCCACTGCAAGGCATGTACAAGGGCTCCAGCGCCAAGGTCAGCATATCCTTCAAGTGCGTCAAGTCACCCAACCCGAAGACGTCGTGAGGGAGTGCCCTCCTCACCACGGGCCTCCTCTTCGTCGCGGTCCTCCATGGCGTCCTCCTCCTCGCCACCCCCCTCGCCCCTCGCACAACAACTCCCTTCGCCTCCATGGCTCTCCGCTCGTCAAAAAAATCTGATACGGCGAGGAGATCTTCTGAGATCTTATCTTGGAGAAAAAAACTGGAAGGTGCTTTGATGTTTTGTTCTTGTTCTTGTTTTTGTTCTTCTGGATGCGTGTATGGGGCGGGTTCTTTAATATATAGAATAACAACTTTACTTTAGTTTAGAAGGGGAAGGCGTTGTACTCCCTCAATATCACGGGCACGCTCGAGGGGGGGATCATGCCAACCTCGGTAGCAATCATGGTGATGAACTTCTCCGCCAGGGCGTCGTACCTGAGGTTCAGCAGCCTCAGGTTAGGCAAATCGTTCCAGTTCTGGAGACACGTGATCTCTGGTCTCCCCTTGACCTCCGCGAGGGCGTCGGGGTCCCCGAGCTCGTTGTGGGTGATGGCGTCGAGCTGAACCCTGTGGGAGAACTTGTACGTCTCGCAGCAGACCACCACCGGGATGTTGAAGGCCTTGGCGGTGACGGCGACGGCCGCGGCCCCGACCCTGGAGACCACCGTGCCGTTGGCCAGGGCGCTCGCGGCCCCGATGAACACCGAGGTCACCTGGGGCATGATGTAGGACAGGGAGGTGATGTAAGCGTACGTGCAAGAGATTCCGATGTCCGCGAGCTTGGAGACCATCTTGCGCCCCTCAAAGTGGGGCCTGCTGTCCACCACGATCACCCTGAACCTGGATCCCCTCTCGTGCGCGGCCTTGAAGGTCTTCAGGATGCTCGAGGAGAAGGCATACGTCAGGATCACGTCGCCTTCCCGGATCTTGGAGCTCGCCACGTCCGCTATCATGTCGCTCGCGTCGATGATCTTGTCCTGGATGTACTGGTCGATCGTGTCGATCAGAATCTTCTTGGCCTCCATGTCTGGCGTGGAGGGGTCGATCGAACCTATTTTGGTCTTGAAGTACCTGATGGCGTTGCCCATCGTCACCGCGAGGGGTCTGCAGTCGATGAGAAACTGGATGATCACGTTGATGTGGTTCGTGAGGTCCCTCGTCAGGCTCTTGCCCGCTGGGGTGTTGTAGTCCTGGATCACGAGCTTGAAGATGGCGAGCATGGCCAGGCACCTGGCGTTGCCCCCAGAGATGCTCAGGTTGGCGTAAGCCTGCCCAAGCTTCACCACCTCGGGGTGCATGCCCCCCGAGAGAAGGGACTGGAAGGACTTTGGTAGAGTCTTGTTGTCGAACTGGGGAAGGTGGGAGAAGAGCTCCACGGACTTCTCTTGGGTCTCCCTCGGAACGAGAGACTTCCTCTTGTGCCTCTGGAGCTTCTTCTCGTTGTCGAACTCGCTCTGCGGGCCAGATCGTGGCCGGCTGAGGGCAGCCGACGAAGTCTTCTCCGACTTCTTCTCGCTGCCCTTCTGCTGCTGCTCGCCCTTGAGAGCGGCCTTGGCGGCTCTCTGCTTCTCTTGCAGGGCCCTCCTCTCCGCCTTTGTGAGCTTTGGCTTTTCCTTCTTCACGAACTCCTTCTGGGGCTTCTTGGCCTTCTGGGCCTTCTTCTGCTTCTGCTGCTCGCCCTCGGGCTCGTCCTTCTTGGGGGCCTTCTTCTGCTCGTCCTCTGGCTCTTGGGGGGGAGCCCCGCCGTCACCCGCGGGTTTGCCGGGACCCTTCGCCTCGGGCGCGACCGGCTCGAGGTCCGCTTCAGGCTTCTCCGCCGCCTTGGGGGCCTCCGACCCCTCAGCCTTGGGGGCCGAGGTTGCCGCCGCCTCCCCGGCAGCCCCGCCGCTCGCGTCCCTCTCCGCCCCTCTCGTGGTGGCGACGGCGGGGCTGCTCTCCTCCGCCGGGCTCGCATGGTCGTCGAGCTCAAGCTTCTTGCCCGGGTACTTCTTCGGCTGCTCCTCTTGCGGTCCGGCCGCCCCTCCCGCGGACGCCGACCCGATGAAGAGGGAGTCCACAGCCCTCCGCTCCTTTCCGTGCATCGGGCTGTGCGTCATGGACTCCGTTTGGGGCAGAATCATCACGGGAGACCTCAGGCTCAGGTGCACGAGGGGAGGCTCCCCGCCCGCCTTCTCCTGCTGCTCAGGCGGGGCCGCGTCTCCCCCCCCCGGAGCCTTCTCCGCCCCCGCGTCCTCCGGCTCTCCGGCGTCCGCGGTCGTCGCCGCGGCCGTCTGCGGCTGCTCCGCGGTCGTCGCCCCAACCAACTCCCCCCTCTCCTGGTGGGCGGGGTCCTCGTGAGCCTCGTCCTCGGCTTGCAGAAGCACCTGCTTCACCTCGTCCGTGCCGTGCACGAGGGTGTCCTCCTCCTCCGTCGCAGCCTCCGCCCCCCCAGCCTCCGTCGCCACCGGAGGCAAAGCCACCTCCACCTGGTCCACCTTCGGACTCACAACCTCGTCCTCATTCCCCGCCCCGACGCTCGTCGTCGACGCGCCAACGTCCTCCCCCTCCCCCTCCTCCCTCTCCCCCTCCACGCCACCCCCGCCGCTCTGAAGTGCAAGCGGAAGGGTCTGGCTGCTCACCTCGCTCGCCTCCTCGCTCGTCACCTCGAACCCCACAACCTTCACGGTCGGCGTCTTCAGATCCGCGTCCTCCATCACGACACGGCACGTCACGACACGACACGACACGACACGACGCCTCACGCCGCTTCGCTCTCCTCCTCTCCTCCTCTCCTCTCCGCCAGGGTCAAGCAAGCGCTAGAGCTTCTTCCCCGTCAGTCGTGTTGTTGTTGATGACGATGAACGATGCTGGTGCTGCGGAGGATGCCGGACGCCAATCCTCTCGAGGGAGGGCTCTTTCGAAAGAGGAAGGAGAGACGGTTCCGACGGTGTCCCCCCTCCCCGCTCCCCCTCCTCGACGCTCCCCCTCGGCACGGGAACTCACCTTTCCGATCGCGCGATGATCGATCGCGCGCTCCTCTTGCTTTTGAGAGAGAGAGAGAAAGCCGCCAAATCGATCGCGTGATCGATCGAGGAAGAGGAAGAGGAAGAGGGAGCGATCGGGAGCGATCGCGCGCGAGGGACGGCGGCGAGGGTGCGATCGCACGATCGCCATCGAAGCGTCTCATCTTTCTCTTTCGAAAGAGCCGTCGCGATGGTGGTCGTGACGTGATTCGATTCTCCAGCAGGTCCTGGATTGATTGTTTGATTGATTGATTGATTGTTTGATTGATTGATTGATTGATCAGGAGTGGTGTCGAGCACGTGGTGATGGAGCACGGTGACGAGGCGGTGGTGAGGCTGACGGTGACGAACGCGTGGTCCCTCGCCGGGGTCCTCCACGCGCTGAAGACGTCCGCGGCGCAGTCGACTGGAGCGTCGTCCGGAAGCGGCGCAGGCCAAGCGAGGCGGGGCGGGGGTGCGAGCCAGCACGCGAGGGGCGGGGGGACGCGGGTGGTGTGCTCGGTGTGCCTGAGCTCGGAGGGGGCGCACATCCAGTGGGACGACGAGACGAAGAGCTTGCAGAGCCAGATCATGGTGAGGAAGGACTCCTTCTCGGACATTTACGTCCACCACACGGTGGAGGACAGGAGGGTGAAGTTCGGGGTGGGCCTGGGGCAGCTCGCGGACACGCTCTCCCTCTTCGAGTCCGAGCTCGGGTCGTCGGAGGGGCTGGTGGTGAGCTACAACCCGAGCGACGAGAAGCAGCTGCAGATCGAGACGAGGTCCGTGGTTTCCCTGGACGACGTCGTCGTCGCGGAGGAGGGGGGCAGGGGGCGGCAGCAGCAGCGGGGGTCCTCCGCCCCGGAGGACGTGGAGGTGAACACCTACGCGAAGATCGCCGTGCAGTCCGACCCCCCGGCGTACGTGGACTGGCTCGACGCCTGGGAGGGCCCCGACACCTCGTTCCACGTGCCGTCCCGCCTGCTGCGGGAGGCGGTGGAGGACCTGGAGTGGCCGGGGGGGAGCGTGAGGCTGAGCGTGACGAGGTCGCCGCCCCAGGTCGAGTTCGTGTCCGCGGGGGCGGGGGCCCTCAGCGTGAAGCTGCCGGAGAGCGAGGTCAGCGGCCTGCACTGCAGCGCGGACCACGTCTGCCACGCGTACAGCTTCAGGAGCCTGAGGAAGACCCTCGGGGCCCAGAGCCCGCAGGGGGGGCTGCCGGGCCTGGCGGACGACGGGGACGCCCTCACCAAGGTCTCCGTGAGCGCCCAGGGGACCCTCAAGGTCATGCACATGATCAGCTCCTCGTCCCGCGGGCACCGGGGCGGCGGCGACGACGACGGCGACGGAAGCGGAGGAGTCACCCTGTACGGCAACACCAGCTACTTCTCGGCGTCGGCGCCGGGGGGGGGAGGGAATTTGGGTCGGATGGGCATCGTCCAGTACGTCCTGCTGCCCCTGGCGGGAGCATAGTATAGTGCCGGGAGGAGGAGGAGGACCTTAGGCAAAGGCTTGGATTATTGCACGATTGGGTGTCTGTCGCGGCGAGAGGAGTGCATAGGGGTGGTTTGTACTACTGTAGTTTGTTTGTAATGTAGGGTTTTAAGCAAGGAAGGATGGCCACCCGTGCTTGCACACAGCGGAGGGCTCTGGGTCCTCTCTCTCAAGCGGCCGTAGGGGCGGGCCTTGATCAAAGGCAGGCCAACTGAGGATCTGCCCCCATTGGGCTCCGCTACAGGCTGCTGATCAACTGGAGAACAAACAAACAAGCAACAAGGTAAACAAGCAACAAGGTAAAAAAAAAGTTGCCGCGACTGGGGGTCGAACCCAGGACGGTCTGCGAACCAAAGCAAGGCCAAAGCATTGGCGTAGTCTCTTACTCTTGGAGGTTTTGTAAGGCAGAAATGATAACCACTACATCATCGCGACGGGGTCGAACCCGAGAGCTCTCGAGTCGAAACGCTGGGAAAAACTGATGGTTTCTCCTTTATACACAGGTGATCGCGATCGATCGCGCGGCTGGGAGAGAGAGGGCGCGCGCAAAATCGAAACGAAATATCCACTTTGTGATCGCGATCGATCGCGCTGGGAGGGAGAGGAGGACACGGACAGCGCGCGCGCGCTCGCGGTGGAAAGGAGGAGAGTTTCGAGATTCGGCGGAAGCGTCTTCTTTTTCTCTTTCGGAAGAGCCGTCGCTCGAAGGAAACGGCGAGGATCTTCTTCTTCTTCTTGACTTGACTTGACGACGATGGCGACGACGTTGGTGTTTGGTCCCTCTCTGGTGGCGAAGGCGGCGACGACGGTTGGCGTGTTCCTGGTCGCGCTCAGGAGGCACCGCGCGAGCCACCTCAAGCACAAAGCAACGACGACGACGACGAAAACGACGACGACGAAGGATGATGTTGTTGTTGATGAGACTTCGACTTCGGCTTCGGCTTGTCCTCCCCTTCATCATCTCACTCCTCCTCCTCCTCAGGAGGAGGAGTACGTGCACCGGCCGCCGGTGCTCGCGGGACCGAGGCCCTGCATGGGGGACCTGTCGCTGACGGAGACGCTGGTGAACCTGCTGACGTGCGCGCCGTACTTTGGGATGGCGAGGAGCGTGCCGGTGGCCAAGGGGGTCGTGGGAGCGGTGTGGAACAGGGTGTTCTCCGTGTCGTGCAAGTTCACGGGGTTCTGCGCCCTGCTGTACCACCTGTCCAAGGGGAAGATCAGGCACTTCTTCAGGAGGCTGGACTACACGTCGGTGGCGCTCTCGGCGGTGAGCCTGACGCTAGCGAGGTCGGCCGAGGGGAGGCGCCCGGTGTTCCTCTGCGCCGTGTCCGCGGCGCTCGCGCCCTTCCAGCCCCTGCTGGTGGCCGGGGCGCACGTCCTCGGCACCGAGTTCAGCTTCCTTCGGAGGGCTCTCAAGGACCCCAACCTGAGGGACAGGCACTTTGTCCACACCTGCGCCGGGGTGACGGCCTTCGGGGCGTTCTACGGGGACGACTGGTTCCCCCAGGTCCCCTACCTCCACGCCATCTGGCACGTGCTCTCGGCCTACGCCACAAGCACGACCTCGTGCCTGGTAGCCCCCTAGCAAGCGGCGACGGGGGCTTGCTGCTTGGGACTCGTCTCCTTCTCTCCCTTTCTTCTCTATTATTATTTTTTTGATCGCGCGCTGGCTGTCGACGTGAGGTGTGGACTATAATAGTTCTGTACATTATTAAAAAAAAAAGAAAGGAAAGAGAGCGTCCACAAGTTAAAACCACGTTCCCGGACGCCCCCCCCGCTTACTGTGCTCAACCACCGTCATATGCTCATGGCGCCCGACTTGTTGTTCTCCTTCTCCTTCGAATCCTTCCCCTCCTGCTTCTTCAGGGGCGGGAGCTTGAACATCTTCCTGATCTGGTCCCCGGTCAGCGTCTCGTGCTTCAGCAGGCTCTCCGCGAGGCTGTGGAGGTCCTTCTCGTGCTTCTTGATGAGGACCTTGGCCCTCTGGTACGCGGCGTCCACCAGGACTCTGGTCTCGTCCTCGATCAGCTGCCTGGTCTCCGAGGAGATGACCAGGCCGTTCTCGTCGTAGTCGTGGGCCACGTTCCCGACCTTCTCCGACATGCCGTACTTGGTGACCATGTCCCTGGCCAGCCTGGTCGCGTGCTGCAGGTCGCTGCTCGCCCCGGTCGTCACCTCCTGCTCGCCGAATATGAGCTCCTCGGCGACCCTGCCGCCCATGGCAACGTCCAGCCTGGCGAGGAGCTGCTTCCTGGAGATGGACGTCTGGTCCTTCTCCGGCAGCTGCATCACCATGCCGAGGGCCTGCCCTCTCGGCACGATCGTCGCCTTGTGCACCGGGTTGGCCCCGGCGGTGTAGAGGGCGACCAGGGCGTGCCCCCCCTCGTGGTACGCCGTCAGCCTCCTGTTCTCCTCCGAGATGACCGCGCTCTTCCTCTCCGTTCCCATCATGATCCGGTCCTTGGCGTACTCGAGGGCGGACATGGTCACGGCGGTGGCCTGGTCCACCGCGGCCTTCAAGGCGGCGATGTTCACCAAGTTCGCCAGGTCCGCCCCGGAGAACCCCGGGCTCCCCCTCGCTATGATGGAGAGGTCCACGTCCTCGGAGCGAGGGATGTTCTTGAAGTGGGACTCGAGGATCTGCCTCCTGCCCTCCACGTCCGGGTTGGGGACGACGACGTGCCTGTCGAACCTCCCCGGCCTCGTCAGGGCCTTGTCCAGGCTCTCGGGAAAGTTGGTCGCCCCGACGACGATCACGCCCTGGTTCTGCTTGAACCCGTCCATCTCCACGAGGAGCTGGTTCAGGGTCATCTTCATGTACTGCTGGTCCTTGGGCGATCTCTTGCCGCCCACCGCGTCGATCTCGTCGATGAAGATGATGCAAGGCGAGTGCTTCTTCGCCGTGTTAAAGAGGTCCCTGATCCTGCGGGCTCCCACCCCAACGAACATCTCCTCGAACTCGGACCCCGCGGCGTAGAAGAAGGGAACCTTGGCCTCCCCCGCGATCGCTCGGGCGAGCATCGTTTTGCCCGTCCCCGGAGGCCCCACGAGAAGCACGCCCTTGGGCAGCTTCCCGCCCAGTCGGGTGAACTTCTCCGGCCCCTTCAGGTACTCCACGATCTCCACCAGCTCTCCCTTGGCCTCGTCCACGCCCTTCACGTCCTCGAACTTGGTGTCGGACTCCAGGACTGGCCTCACCTCGCTGTTTCCCGACATGAGCCGCGACGGCATGCCCTTGTCCTCCATGAGGGCCCCGATCCCTGATATCACGATGAAGGCCAAGCCCAAGGATCTCACGCTCCTCCAGAACTGCGCCTTGAACGAGGGCTCCGCCTGAGTGACGTGCACCGGCGAGGACGGCGAGCCCAAGTCCCCTCCCTTGCCGCTCAGCACGCCTCCCACCGCGGACGCCTGAGACGGCACGTTATGCCCTTGGCCGAAGCTTGGTCCAACTTGTTGCTGCGGCAGGTGATGCGTCTGCGTCTGCGTCTGCGCGCTGAGCCCGGCCTGAAGGGTCTTGAAGAGGGCGGACCTGTCCAGCCTGTCCACCGCGGCCAGAGCCTTGACGTACTCCTTCACGGCCTCCTCCGTGAACCCATACGATCCGCTCTCGAAGCTTCGTATCACTCCCTCCGGGTCGCCACGTCGATTCAGTTCGCGCAAATGCGACGAGGACGACGACGAGGACGACGTCCCTCCGGCGTAAAACTTTCGGACGTGAAGTTGAAGCGTTCCTCCTCCTCCTCGTTTCCCTCGTTGGGCGGCTTCCCACCTCCGCGCCCCTTGTCGCAGGAGGTTTGAAGCCGCTAGCACCCACAGCACCCTTGCCCTTGTCGCCATCCTCCCTTCTCCTCTCCTCCACGAGCGAGCGAGCGAAATCGAAATATCTGAAGAGGAGGCCTCAGGGGAAGGAAGGAGGGGGACAGAGGAGGAAGGAGGATGGAAAGACGACCAGAGAGAGAGAGAGAGAAAGAAAGAGATCCTCTCCTCTCTTCTTCTCTTTCTCCTCTTTCTTTCTTCGCTTTCTTTCTTCGCTTTCTTTCTTCGCTTTCTTCGCTTTCCAAGGAGCTCCCGAAGGAAGGACATGAAGGTGTACGACGACGAGGAGGAGGAGGAGGAGGAGGAGGAGGGAGCCTTGATCGGGGGAAGGAAGGATGGGGGACAAGGAGAGGACTTTCCTCTCCTCCTCTTTCTTTTTCCTTTCTTCTCTTGTCCAAGGAGCTCCCGAAGGACATGGACATGGACCTTTGGTTTTGGTGTAGCCGGACTTGCCGACCATTCGGCAAAGGCTTCGACCACGATTCGATAGAAACATGAAATCAAAGAACCAACTATAGAAACCCGTGAGCCGTCGTTCGAAAAGAAAGATCCTCTCTCTCTCTCTCTCTCTCTCTCTCTCTCTCTCCTTTGGTTGTGAAATTGACGTCTTTGTTTAGGACCTCATCATCATCCAATAACTTGGTGTGTGGTCCTGCGGCGAACCGTCCAGGTCCGTCTGTCGAAAGGACAAGCGTCTGTGCAGACCTTTACCTTCCTTACGGCACGCAACACCCAGGAGCTCCTGTGTGCGCCGTGTGTGTGTTGCATTTAAAACCTTTACCTTCTGCCTAAGGACAGGACGCTTCCTAAGACAAGCTCGTTCTTGGTTCCACGTTCGTTTGCGCCGCTTCTTGACATCTCTTCCTGCTCACATGGAGCAACTCAATTGCTGAAAAGGTTTGGTTTGGTTTGGTTTTGAGTTGCAGTTTGTGTGTTTGTGCGGTGCTTTGTGTTCGTAAAAGTCACAGTCCAACACTTTAGGAAAGATGATGATAGGAAAGGGCATTATCAAGGTAAGCCACGCCAGAACCGCCTCCACACGGACACAGACGGACTGACAGCAGTGTGTGGTGCATTCCTCTCCTCTGTTCTGCCTCTTCTTCTTCTTCTTCTTCTTCTCTCTGTCTCTCTCTCTCTGTCTGTCTCTCCTCGACAGGATTTGAGAGCGCGTAGCGGGCACTACCTGTCCGATTGGACGGGGGAGGCATCCAAGGGAAAGCAGGCCTTGACCAGGATAGCGGCGGCTTCCGTGTACATATTCTTCGCCTCTGCTGTGCCTGCCATTGCTTTTGGCCAGCAGCTGAAGAAATACACCAAAGATGAGATGGGCATCGTGCACACTCTGGCCGCGACTGGCATCACCGGGTGCATGCAGGCGGTGCTGGGGGGCCAGCCCTTGCTCATTGTCGGGGTTGCGGAGCCCATAGTGATCATTTATCACTTTCTGTACGAGTACGCCAAGGACAACAGCATACCTTTCGTCCCCTGGAGCGGCTGGGTGTGCGTGTGGGCCAGCATCACCCTGTTCATCCTGGCCTTGGGAAACGCGGCCAACTTCATCGAGAAGTTCACGCGGTTCAGCGGAGAAATCTTTGGACTCATCATCGCGGTCCTGT